GTCTCATTCGTTTTTTGAGATAACGTTATTCATAGATACACGTACACAAGTGACTGTATAGATTGCACAGTGGAGCGTATTCGTATTCGTAATATTCGGCTGGGGTCATACTTCAGTCCGTTTTCGTTATTTTCCGCTTCAAAGAAGCAACTTCGTTCAAAAATGGATTTCAGCGAAGTTGACCTAATTAGGGAAAAATAGGTATCAAAATGATCGCATCGCCTAAAGAGCACACTAGTTCACTTTTATTCTATTTCGTAATCTATTTCTCAATAAAAAAGAAGCATGAAGTTTGGAAAATACTTTAATGGGAGCTGTTCCCCTCTCTTATAATTATAGCGAGCGACGCTCTCTAATGAGTGGCCTCAGGCACTTTGGAATTAAAAAATCAAATTTTCTGAAATTTAAGAAGGCAGTCTTATAGATCTCGACGAGCTGAGTTAATGGTACGAATTTCGTAAAGAAAAGTAAAAATCAATCAAGTTATAAAGTTATGGAAGGTATGGTAAATGCTTGAAAAATTCGTTGCAGCATAGTTTTCTGGCCACTCCTACGTTATTTCAGCTACTCATCGGACGTTAGATTCCACGTTTGATACTTCTTCGCTTGGTCAGCGCTGCTCATTGCCAAGGTTCACTGGATTCCTGGTTTGCACACTTACTTGCAATCTACTGCGGTGTAGCTGTCCGTAACAAGGGGATCGTTTAGGACGAGCCGTTTTCGAAAGTGTGTGTGCCCCTACACACTCTTTCGAAAAAAAGACGGAGAAAAGAAGATGTTCTCTGCATTCTGTAGGAACATTTTTCGATCGAGGGGCCCATTTTCATTGAACGCTCTTAGGGCACCGAAAAAGGCTCGCAAACAATTTCTTCAGGATCTGCAGTTTTACATCAGCGTACCGTATATCATTTACAGCATTGACTAGTTCCACATCTAAAGGTTTTCGTGAGCTGCACGTCATAAACGACGCAATGTTGGGTCAAAAATGAACTGTTGTCCAATGAAGTGACTACAGAATTTTCATAAGCGGTGCCAGCTCCGGAAGGTCCGATAGCTTGGTGGTTTTGTGGCTAATCTTTGCCTAATGTTGGCACGACACTACAGGGAGTTGTGGATCAACTCACGATACTGCTAAATTCCTGCATTTTTGGCAAGCACCTCCAGATTCGCGACGAAAGGCGCCTACTCCAAAATAGATGTCATGTTCGTTTCCAGGACCACAAATAAGCTCAATAACAATTTTTCTCAAGAAATGCAAAAATGCATGTATGTTCATGATTAGGGCTCTAGATACTTCTATAACTGAGGGTTCGAAGAAAGCCGAGATTTTCACCTGGCGTCCAAGAATTGAAAGATCGGCTATGGATTAATGTGCCGAGGGGTGACCTAGTTTCCAGAAAAGGGAAATTCTCCCCAGAAATAACAATAACAAGCTACTGCTAATGGCTTACATTGAAGTGGTAGCAAGTTATCCTCTGAGTCAAGAAGTCTGTGGATCCTTGTTATTTCCAGTGGCTTGGCTTCTCGTTGATAGTGCCGATGCCAAGGAGTACGCGAAGTGATGTTAAATGAGCCTCACGGGGATACTGCGCTGCCCTATCGCTTTCGTGTAAGTCACCAGCCAGAGTGTTTTTCGAGTTTGTCTTCGAGCTGTTCGCGTGTGTAGATGGCAGGATACCAGCTAGACCAATGGTTGCCCATTCTTTCGGTGTAGTACCCTAATCTAGATTTTTTCTGAAAGTTTTACTGTGAAAGCTTATCTTGTACCCTCATTGCGAATATGACAACTGTTTCTTACGCCACTGCCATCTGGTGCTATTTGGCGCCTGGGTGACTTTTGAGTGACTTTGGCGTCACAACTTGTATCTGCTAACTCTTGATGAAAACATCTTCATAGGGATTACATATGGTTCTAATCGTGAATATTGTATCCGTTTTTGACGATAGCATCATTTTGCACCACCCCGTAAACGCCACTCTATAATGTAATATTTTTTCACCATGTGGAATTGAACCATCAACAGATCTTCGACTCCTTTTTGGTACTCTCGGTTTTTGGTCTATTACTATTTATCCGAAATGGTGCACAGTTTTATGTTCCGTACAGGTGTGTCTACCACATGCAAAGAGCCGTTATGAAAAAATGCGGCTTGTACTTAACGACCTCCTTCTAAGTCACCTACTTTGGCACATCCGACGGATCGTGAGAAGATTTTGTTAGTTGGAGATAAGATGACAAGGGAAGTAGAAAAAGGAGGATCGCACAAGAGCAAAAATGGAAGACTCACCGCAAACATCGATCGATAAACCCCGAGAGAAAGCGATCAGCTGGTTCACGGGTTACCATCGTGAGACTCCATTCTGACGAATTTTTCACCTGTAGGAATCGCAACATCGCGTCGACGCCATCGAAAAGGTTTTTATGTTCGCAGAATCTATAAGTGCTACTCGAAGAGTCAAACAGATTGATATTAGACATTTTCGAACGATTTTTGTTTCAACCGCTAGACTTCTTAGCATCATGAACTGTTAGATTGAGGAAATATAATGGACCGTTCATAGATGCGATCGTACGCGCGACTCGGCGATTTGGCGATTAGGCGTGTAGGTGGCGTTGTGATGACACGTATCGATTTGTTTGATGATTCAAAAAGAAAAGTATATGTATCGATTAGGCGATTAGGCGATTAGGCGATTAGGCGATTAGGCGAGTAGGCGATTAGGCGATTAGGCGAGTAGGCGAGTAGGCGATAAGAGAAGGATACGTATTGATTGTTGCTCCGCCCATTGAGCGATCGCCTACTCGCCTACAACGTTCTATGGGCGGAGCAAACCAATCAATACGTATGTAGTCTTCCCCGCCTAATCGCCTAATCGCCTACTCGCCTACTCGCCTAATCGCCTAATCTATACGTATATTTTTCATTATAAATCGC